TAAGGAACGAGGCAGTAACGGTTTGGTGTGTGTGTGTGTGTTTGTGCGTGTGCATTCTCGCCTGCCCTGCCTCCTGCAGCCGCAGGTCCTGCTTGCGTGACATGTTCTAACCGCAATGAAGGAAACTCCTTCCGAAGGCGGGATGGATTGCAGAGTCCCTGGTGCAGTCAGCAATGGCGAAACGATACCTGCACATCCGAGCGCAGAAAAGGAGAAGGAAGAGGATCGAACCCTGGAACGAGGCCAGTGGAATAACAAGCTGGAGTATCTGCTCTCTGTGGCTGGGGAGATCATTGGTCTGGGAAATGTGTGGCGATTCCCATACCTCTGCTACAAGAACGGTGGAGGTAAGTGCAGCCCTGTCCCTGTTCGAGCCCAGATGTGACCTCCCTCTGTGCACATCTGCATCTCCCCTGTGGTCTAAAGACATGGTGGGGTGGGTGTACAGGAGCTGTGCTGGAGGCCACAGGATGCAGGATGTTCTTAACGCTGCAGTAAGAGGCTGGAGCATTTTCTAGGGGCTTTTGGAGCCTTTGTGCACTGCAAGGCTTCGGTGCGTGCAGGTGCTTCTTCTTTTGCCCAAGTGGCCTGATGCTGATGAGATGGTATGTTCTTCACCCTTTTGCCCCCAAACTTGTCTATCTGCATGATTTTGTACAGCCTTGCCTTACTGGGAGTTCGCCCATCTTAGAAGTGAGGGTGTCCTGGTGTTTGCCAAGGGCCCAGGGACATGTGGTTTCCATCTGGCTCCTGTTCTGCATGTCTTTAAATCTTTGCGAAGGAAGGCCCAGCCTGCCAGGGGGGTGAAAATCCATTAAGCAAAACGCTGAGGGAGAAGCCTGCTGGGCCACTTGAGTCGGGGCCGGTAGCTTGTTCCCAGCATCAGCTCCATGGTGTGGCACATTGAAGGGTCTGGGTGCCTGCACCAAGGGGCACCTCTGGGTGCTGGCTCCTGGCGCTGAGGTACGCAGATCTGAAGGGTTTGCCTCACTTCCATCGCTGTTCCTGCTTCCCACGGCGCCTCCAGGCATCACACAGAGCTGTGCGTGCGTGGCAGGGGCAAAACATGTCTCTGAGCAGGCTGACGGGGCACGAGGATCTACGTGCTCAAGGGACAGAGACGGGGCAGAGCAGGGCGCTGCTCCCATCCTTGAAGGACGCACAGTGGGTGCCGTTGGGGCAGCAGGTCCCAGGGTGTGTGGGCTGGCAGAGGGGACCACAAGCTCTTGTAGTTTTGAGTTCCTGCTTTGTTTAGCCTATGACTTTCTTTCAAGAAGGAGAAGAAATTATTTAAGAGACAAAAGCCCAAAGCTCTGCTCAGTTTGGCCACGTGTCTGTTTTCTCTGTGGCACACAGAGAAGGAATTACACTCCCTGTTCGGTGATTAATTGCTAATTGGGCTCCCCGGAAGGGATGGGGAGAGGAGAAATGGCACTTGGCATGGAGCTGGCATGAAACAAGTGCTGGGGACTCTGGGCTGAAATCCCCTGGCTTTAGCTTGAGGTAGTCTCATGGGCCTCACTAAACTGCTTTCATCCCAGTGGCATAAAAGAGGATTAGCTCCTATTTAGCTATTTTCACAGTGGATTTTGCTCAGTTTTGTTTGCTTCCTTTTCACCTGGTGATTGGGAATTTTATTTCTGAAAGGAAAGTTTTTCTTGTTTTTCTTTCTTAATGGGGAATGTTTCTCAGCTGCTTGCTGTATGGTGCCCATTCCAGTGGCTGCACCATCCCTGTGTGCTCCCTGCACAGAGCACCAACTTGGGATGAGTACCGCTGGCTGGGAGAGGACCTGGGAGCTCCATCTTCACAGCCCCTCTCAGCATCTTTTTCCCTGCCAAGAAGTGGGCCTGACCCAGAGCTGCCACATATGAGAGGCTGGGAGGAATTTGAAATCTCAGGCAAAATCTGTCACCTTCCCATGAGGTTGGAAGATGTTGTACAGAAAAGTATTTCCCAGATGGCTTTTCTTGGAGAAGGGGATAAAATAAGGCTACACAGAACTAGAAGCATCCTGTCTGGGGCTACATCAAATAACCCATTTGTAATGTATTGAGATTAGTTTTCAGAGCTACCAGAAGTCTATCCTCCTTTGGGAAGGCTGGCGCCAGCACTTTTGCTTCTCTGGTGGTTAGAGACCTTTATTTAAAGTCCAGCTTAAGGTTAGTCACGGCCAGTCTGTATCCAACATTACCTTTGGTCTTAAATAGCTCTGTGGTCCTCTCACCAAGTGCCCTCACAGTGACGACAGTGAAGGTAACTCTTCTCAGCTTTTGCTTTGCTTGGCAAAATAAACCAGGACTCTTCTTCGCAGAAAGAAAGGATATCTGCCAAATCTTAGTCATGCAAATAAGGCAGCTTGTCACTTTTCCTTTCTTTAGAGATCTTTCTACTTACCAAATCAAGAATGGTCTCAAAATAAAGGGGAAAGAAGTAGTGGGAGGAGAAGGAAATAGCAGAGGATGTTCTACTTTCACTCTTGTTCATTCTTGCTTTTGCCCCTGTGCTGAGGTCAGGCCCTGCGCGTTGGGAAATACCGAGGAAGCCAGTCCATCCGAGTGGCTCCGTGTGCCGCACGCTGGCCCCTGGGCTCTCCTGGCACCCTCCTGTCCTGCACCCGCAGGCTCCCCGTGGGAGCGAGGGATGTGCCCAGCGCAGACACGCTGCCGCTTCAGCGGGGTGTCACCCCGAGGCTGCACGGGGGACGCGGAGGGCAGAAAGGCCACGTCGCGCCGCGGGGCTGCTCGGATGCGCAGCCCGACGTCCCGCCTCGCGCGATGGGAAGCAGCCGTGTCGCAACCTGCTGCAAGGGGCTGCCCTGTCTGCTGCAGCACACGAGGCCCCGGGGCCCTATGTGGTTGTGAAAGGCAGCTCTTCCAGCAGCCTTTCTCCCTTTTTTCCCTGCCTTGCTCATTGCAGGCCCTGGCTGGTGGCAGCCGCACTTGCCGTGCCTCCCACCCGTGCCAGTGCAATGATGCTTCCTTAGGCCTGGCGGCAGTGGTTTTGTTCAGCACCAACTTTTGTACAGCGGTGATCTCTCTTGCAGAAATGCGCCGCTTTTATGGTAATACGACTGCATGCAAGATGGGACTTGAGGGGACTGTGCTGATGCACCTATCCCCCCTCGCCCTCTCACCTAAGACATTTATACTTACTTGCACAGGGACAATGTGTGGCCATACATATGTCCTCCTTGCGCTTGCCAAGGAACTGCATCCTACCCTTGGGCTGGCGCTTTCCACAGGGATGCTGTCCCGTATGCTTTATTGGTGCTTTTCTTTGCGGGGAGGGCAGGGTGGTGGCTGGGTGTCCCTCTGGGGCAAGCATGGGGGTGGCCCTGCTGGCCCAAAGCGCCCCTTCCCTCTCCCTGGCCCGCCCAAGGGAGCTAAGCTCCTTAACTGGGGAAACAAGAGATTCCATTGAGCTCCACACCAGGATTGCTGTTCCTCACACTGCCCCGCAAACGTGGCCAAAGCCAAGTAGCATCCCACTCACTTAGGGAAGGACCGTGCAGGTCTCCCTGCCCCAGCAGCTGTGATGGTGCATTTGCAAAGCAGGGAGCATTCGTGAGGCTCTCTCCCATGCACCATGGGAGAAACGCCATTAGTGCATTTATTGCTAGTGTGACCTACTCATAAACGTGATCCACTTCACCCCTGTCTGGTTCTGTGACAGGATTTGACCAGGAAGGGAGCCCTGACTGCTTGCATGAGGGAAATCCTTTTCTGCACTGCTTTCCTTTCAGTTGCATGGCTATTTTTTATTTTATTTTATCTTTCATTTTTTGGTGAGTGAACAAATGAGCAAGTCCTGCAGTGAGATGAATTTATTATTCTGTGTGTATCGTTCAGTGCTTTGGTGTTGTCATCCATGGTAGTGTCAACAACAGGCATTCAGAAATATCAGATTAAAAGGAACCATCAACTTTCTGAAAAATGACAATGGTCTCACAGTAGGATGGTCACCTTTACTTATACTCAGCTAATGAGAATTTGTATTTGTTTTCTGCATAAAGATTAGGCCTATAAACATTTCTATATCTCCTCCTTTCTAAATGTTGAGTTCTCATGCTGTCACATTGCTCTGGAAGTCAGATTTTGAAGAAAACCCCTTTCTCCTGGCACCTCATCTCCGTACCCTTCCCACTTTCAGCAGCCCATATTGCTCCCCTACCATCCTCTTTCAGTCTCTCCTGGAAGGTTGCTGGTCAGTTCTAGCATTAGGATGGCCCGAATGCAGTAATTTATTTCTCTTGCACGCTGCTTGAATCTGCCAGGTGCCTTCTTCATCCCCTACCTCATCTTCCTCTTCACCTGTGGGATCCCGGTGTTCTTCCTGGAGACGGCACTAGGGCAGTACACGAGCCAGGGAGGGGTGACAGCCTGGAGGAGGATCTGCCCTCTCTTTGAAGGTGAGTGAGCCCAGGAGGGCAAGGCAAGGTGGGAAGGAGCGCCAGGACCTGGAGCTCCAGCCCTTCTGGAGGGAAGCTTCCATGATACCAACCCC